AACATCGACCAGACTACACAGCGCAACAACCCAGAAGACAGAAATCTTCATACTCATCGCCCTGATGATGGAGGCAGTATGACCTCTGAAACGTTGGTTAACATCGACCAGACTACACGGCGCAACAACCCAGAAGACAGAAATCTTCATACTCATCGCCCTGATGATGGAGGCAGTATGACCTCTGAAACGTTGGTTAACATCGACCAGATTACCCAGCGCAACAACCCAGAAGACAGAAATCTTCATACTCATCACCGCTGTGAAAACCTCAAATCTTACATAATTAACTCGCTTTAACAGAACAGACAAAAACAGATTTGACGTGAACTGACCTCGCTTGGCAGGACCCGCACGCCACACCTTGAAGCAGGGAGGTGTAGTGTGACATCATTTTCACCCATCCCTTGCCCCCTGCACTCCAGAGGGAAACCCCGTGCATAAAGTAGGCCCTGAAATGGCTTTTCCATCAGAACTCTCACAGTTAGCGCGTCGGCCGTGCACGTCACATTCACACCTACAACACGAAACGTGTGAACTTTCTCAGTAAAACACATCTAAATATAAGAATATTAAATACTGCTCAGAGTTATTTTATCAGGAATAAAACAGCCAGAACATGAATCTGACCGCTTAACACTGAGGTCAAATTTTATGACGCAAAGAGGTCATTGTGTAGCGTGTGTAAATTTTTACACTCGGTCACCTACCAGCCACTGAGTTTGGCTTCTTGTGATCACTCAGCCGAGGCCAAACGCATGCACTGCAGCTCTGGAACAGACAATACAAACATCACTCACTTAATAAAAATATAAGTTCAAAAATTTCTAATTAATAATTGGATTGACGCATTTAGCAGGCAACAATTATGGTAAAACAGACAAATACATAAAAGAGTAGGATCTATAGACCTTCACTCAGCTTCTACTCACCAGAAAAACAAAAAGCCATAACGCACCATCTCTAGGAGACATCTGAAACAAAGGAAAGACATGTACGCTGAAATTGGATTTTTTTTTTTAAAAATTTTAAGTTCCTGTGGCTTCTCTTTTGTTCCTGAAGTTACTGAATGTTCACATATCAACTGAATAGAATTAAATTCAGTAAGATTATGGTGAACTGAGGAAGAAAGTGGATCATCTTATAAGTGATTTATTTCTAACGTTCCTCCCAGACAGAAATGTGTGTGCACCTTCTTTGGCCTGTGTACGCTAAATAATCCCCTTATTTTTCATAATCCTCTGTTCATACAAAATAAATCGAAAATTTTATACATAAGAGTTAGATATTTTAATGGTGTCCTGTATCCATTTTGTTACTAAAAGCTACTTCTGAAACATCTGGCAAAGTTCTACAGGAGTGTCGCCATTATGTGAAATAGGGCTTATGGAAATGGGATGACTGTCTTCTGGGATGTTGTGTTGTAGAAACTGAGCAATGTTTCAGAGATGCCTATTGCCTCCATCATCAGGCCCTGATGATGTCGTAACATTCCAGAAGGAGATCATCTTCATACTCGCTGCCATGAGAACCTAAAATCTTACTCAGCGGGTTATGGAAGTTCAACACCGACGAATATTAAATCTTTCCAGCAAGTTTCATTGCAGTTCTCCTATAATAAATCATAGAAATGTGACGTAGTTCGAGAAAATAATGAACATGGACATATAACATGTGTTCACTTCTGGCACCGAGTTCAAAGAACGTATAATCAAGATCGCGACTTTCAATTTTGTACGGATCCTTGAACATGACTGTCACTGCCTCCCATCTGCTGACGCACTACGGTACGTGTAACGGCTCGTTCAATGTGGGTCACAACAGATGCACTGCGGAAGTATTCACAAACGTCCGGCCGGAGCTACAAGTATGATTGATTCGCTATAAACACAACAGTAAGAGATACGTTTTCATATTCTGACACTGAAACGACGCCATATTTCTTCGAATAGTTTGGGATATGTAACATTGAAGTAACCAGGTAGACTGACAGTAACGATATCTCCATTTAAATTTATGCACTTTATTAAAAACAAAGAACATCTGAAAGTTCTTTTTCTGAGCAAACAGGATGCATATTTCCCACTGTACGCCAAAGCTACTGAAATTCCAGCCCATTGCTGACATCACGACATTCTTACTGTTTGCTGGGCCGTGTAATTCACTGGGGCATAATTCCAGACCCGCAGAAACAAGGAAAATTCCATATCTGAGGCTGCGCACAAAGAGACTTCAACGCCCTAATAAGACACGAACATTATGGAGTTTCAAAGCAAGACGGAATGCAAAATAAATATAAATATATTTTCTTTGCGGTACGGACCGAATTCTTACGTATTACTTAGAGGGAAGACCTTCGGTCTGAAATGGTTAAACTGCGCAAATCAGTGTCCCAAGTTCATCCATTTTGACGATGTGACTATTAAAGAAAAATACGATAAAATCAGTATCACAGTACCAACACCTTTTATCTCTAACCTCGATTTGCTTCTACAAGATATGCCCAGAGATGGCATTATAAAAAAACAGTGGAATGCCTGCAAACCAATGGAACTACCCCCCCACTCTATTATTTATTTAATTAATTAGTGTTCTGTCTGACGACAGGTCCATATGAACAGGATCCTTCCATCCTTTTCTCGGACTGGGACCTGTTCATATACGTTCTTGGCAGATGATCCAGAAGTGGTTTGCCATTGCCTGCTTCTGTGTGTGAATGGCTCCTGCTCCATCAGTACAACATCGCTCGTTCCTCTGAATGTCGTCGAAGCAAGCTTCAATGCCTTGCGTATTCGCACAGCGATGACATTCCAAGACTCTTTTGGTCCGTGGGAACAGACAAAAGTTTGGTTCTGACAATAAAACACGACAGACGACTAAAAAAAAAAATTCATTTATCGCCATGAACTTCTCGATGGAGACAGTTGCGTCTAGACGAGCGATGTCATGGAAGAGGGGACATTCTCAACAGTAAGAATTATGACAACTACCAAGAATTGTAATTCGATTGTCACAGGCATCCAAGGATCTTGAGCTTGATCTATGATTCCGTTCACATCGTAAAAAAAAAGACAGACTAAAAACATGAAGGCAACAAAGTTTACGACTAAGAATTTGTTACACTTGAACACAGCTATAAAGACTTTACCTCGAAGTTCCTACTTCTTGTAGCTTCCTTGACATTGACTAGATTAGCTGCATACATCACATAAAAGCTTGGGACTTTCGAGGAATACAGAGGTCCGAAATGTCACTCAAATTGCGTTGGATATTGTTTAATATCGATTTATATTGATATTTGTATTTGGAATAGTTTATAAATTAAAATCTTACGTTTCTCTGCCAACATTGGCCTAGTTCTGCGAAGTGCGAGTGTCGCAAAATATGGCGTAAGGCCCCCGAAAATTAAGTCAACCCATGCTGGAGCTTGTGGAAGGTGTTAAGGGACAATGCTAGCAGACGGTGTTCAAGATCTCTCATCTATCGCTACGTATTCAGAAAGCGTGAGGATGCAAGTCCAACGCCTCACTTGAAATATCTACGCTTCGAAGATAATAAATTTTGGTAATAATATAAAGATTTGGTGAGAAAGAACCCCAATTTATCCGTCATTCGTCTCTCTTGACAACGAATCCTAGGAAATTATTCCATTTAACCAGCGGTTAAAAATAACTGCCCACCCCTGAAGGCCACACAAATATTAAAGGAAGCTTCAAGATTTGGTGTTTCGTAGGGTCTTCAGACCTGTTGGAAGTCAAAAACTCCACTTTCGTTGACTGGATTGAAGCTGTGATCTATGAAGGCGGAAGGGTGCATGAACAGGTAAATCCAAATATTTCATCTCAAAAGGCATGTGAACACTTCCGTCACGCTTAGCGAACGTCAATTATCATCGCCGTGATGGGAGACATAACAGACGCGTGTGGATTGTTACATTAGTGAACTGACGGTCGAGTAGCGGTAAGACGGGTTGGTCGGGCAACGCTACCCTGCATAATGGATTCATAATTCCACGTCCTTCAGTGGCGTGCATACATCCCACCTACACAAGTTCATTATCAGTGGCGTACATCCCATATCGTATTTCCGTTCACCGGCCAAGGCATGCGCAATAGACTGATGGAAATACAACCTTCCAAACCAATATGGATACCAAACATGTGCGCATAGCAGACTAGCCAGATGGACTCACTCCGCCTCTACTCGAACGTTATCAGAGGTGCAAACAATGGCATATGAAGCACACTGACTAAAACTTCATTTAATAAACAACACGTCACATGCCTGCGGTGTCCACTTCATATTACAGCATAGACGCCAACCAAAAAGCTAACTAAGGGCGGAGTCCTGCGCAAGCGCAAGACATCGTCCCTTGCTAGGCAACACCATTCCTGCGTACGAAACGCATTGCTAAGCCAATGACCATCTTCATATTCAAAGATTCAGTCCGTACCGCGAAGAAAACACAACTCTTCACCATTACAGGGATCAATTGGTTAACGCCGTTTAAGGAAGTAATCGCTGATTACGACAATCGTGCGGAACACATAAATACAAAATCAAGAGTTACCGATTGTTAATGACACTGTTTCAATTGAAAGAAATGGATGAAAGTTTGCCGCATATAAACAACTGCACAGTACCACTGCCAACTACTTGACTCTGAAGATCCACAAACAGTAATGTTAGACGGCCTTCACATCAAAACTCTGCATAATTTCGTATCTTCCCAAATTACATGTCTATCATATCGAAAGCTGATCGTCTTATATCTGAAACTTGTCACTGCGTTATTAGGTTATTTTACGTAACCTCGTATTGACGTATAGGTAAAAAAACGTTTTTGGAGGTACATATTGCCTCCATCTTAAGCGAAATTATAGAATTGCATAATATTCTAAGAGACGTCGACAGAATTTTTACGATATGTTAAGGTTCCGTAATAAAACAATCACCTACTGCCACTTTCATTAGAAACGGAATGTTGTACTGGTTCTCCCACACTTACCTTCAGTTACATCTACGTGCAACGACGTGGGCTGTCACGCGGAGACTGGCAACTGGTTACAACTGCGGTTAACTCAGTGGCTTCCGAGACAGGCTTGCCAACTTGAGTTATAACGGCCCATCTCGCTGGGCCATGCCACCCTCCGATTTAGGCTTGCGTTTAATTGTATAAGGCCTGGTGATGAAGTAATTGTTTAGGGAAATTTTCATACAATGAAAATCGCTGCCTTCTGCGATGTTAACACCGTGCAGTCTGGTAGATAGTTGCAAAGGACCTTACTGCCTCCATCATCAGGGTAATGACCCTAACGGTTGAAACGGGAAGGGACGCAGCAAACACGAGAAGGTTCGAAACGAGGATTGCAGGAATCCTGGAAAACATGGAGGGTGTAAATATGGAGAATAACAAACCTACTGAATTCACATGACCTGACAAACAAACAAACCTAACCTAACCCATATACCTAATTTCCTGGATGCAGACATCAATATACTTTTCATGACTTGTGTTCACAGTAACCAATGATTCACATTAAAGCAAAACTGTCCCACTACACATCATGGAGGCAATGGGGGATGAGGCAGTGTAGCTCCTACTTGTCACTGGAACTCAGCACTAGATGGGTCAACATCGAGCCCTGGCCACGCTTAAAACCCAGGGCCCATTGGACAGGTAGCTAGGTATGCCCCAGAGCCAGCCTGGGCACAGAGACTACAAGAAAAATCTTCTGCCTCTGCCGGGGATCAAACACCGGTCACCCAATCCGATGTGGACTGAACTAATCTACATATACTCCTCAACCACTATGTTAATCCAGGGGAAATAACACGTTTTCTTTTGAATGTAATACGAATTAACCTCGTGACGTGTGTTAAGATATATTCTGTATAGAAGAGTTCGAGCAAAGAATGCCTCTTATTTTGTTAAGTTAAATGCTGTAGTATTGTATTTATTTTACACCAACAATTTGAAATTAATGGTAATAAATTGAAATTTGGAGTTAATAACATTTTAATTTCTATTATAAATGATATACATAATAATATACAAAATTTGTAAAAATAAACATTTCAGAATATGAAAGACTGTCACAGAGTTTAATATTTTCACAGCCTTTCCAGATTCATGGACCGCATGGGAACGGGAAGGAAGTCAAAGGAAGATTACAGCTAATGAAAAGTAGAAATGTACACGGTTTTAGACAACTCTTCTTAGGTATTAAAATGTGTCACTCACCGAGTGACTCATTAGACATTCACATCCAGCGTTTTCTCTCGTAAAACAACAAGAGATTTTTCAGGACATATTCTTTAAAATCTGGGCATAAGAGGAATAAAATCAAAAAGTTTTAAAAATGTCTACTTTTATCAGTACAAGCAGGTTAAAAATTAACAACTTTGTTACTGAACTAAAATGTTGATATTTGTTTGTCGAACTGTACAAGCACCTTTAATTTCAAGTAGATTACTTATATCTGGCATAAGTTATAACTAAGTCCAACTGCCAGATGACTAAACCAGCAGTTGGTATCTTATCAGGAACAGTAAGAGTTGAAAAGTGGGATACGAGAAATTACAAATGCCCGCATCAAATAAAGTCAGTCTCAGTTTAAGTTCTATACAGCGAACAGAACAATAATAACATAAAGAACATTGCATGAAATTTAGCAATTACTTTCTCACATGATTAGCATAAAAGAACAAGATGGTACATAAACGCCTTTTAAAGTAATTCGGACACCTGGCTCCAAAAACATAGGGTAAAGACAAACAAACAAAACAACATTAACTGTGTATGACGCACACCAGTACATTAAGCCAAACACACACCTTGGCACATAGCAGACGTTTTAACAGGTGTTCAATATCTCATCAAACACTGATAAGTGGGGGGTTATGTCCACTGAGAATTCTTGTATACATGCGACAATAAAGGAACAGACATAGGCCCCACTTAGCTGTCATGAACGTCCATACTGCAGCAATATACATGCTCGTATCCACTGGCATGACAGCTGCAAGAGATAAAGGAAGCCATGTCATTCATCTTAACATTCAATAACCAAAAATCTGTCTTGAGTGATCCTTAGGTTCAGTTTGATGAGATATTTCTTAGCTGAACAGGGAAACTGATAAAACTTTTCTCCTGATGGAATGAACAAATAATAAAAAAACAGTATTTCTCAGCTAAAGTCAAAACCAATACATCAATATCACTTGGACACTTACAAAGCACAAGAAAAAGTAAAGAATGTTGTTTTGAGCTCCCCTTATCCAACAATCCAGAACAGTTTTGGGCTCTCAGTAAACCTACTGTTTTATCTGAGTTACTTTCTGTCCTGTTAGGTTAGATTATTTAGAAGGATTCAAACTATTCCTTGTATTATTTATCCCCTTCAATACCACAATAAACTTACGTATGTGGTGGTATACTGCGATAAAGATACACCAGATGAGGCCAGCCATGCCTGCCAGTGCACCCATAATGCCCAATACTTTGATACTTCGCAATGTATCTACTGAGTGCCACGAGTCCATCTTCTGTCGGACATAAAGATAGTGCAAATGGAAGCACACCATTGCAAACACACCTACCAACACAATAGCAAGAGTTACATACCACACTTTCCTGCAACATTAATTAAAAAAAAAAGAATAGTATTTCAAAAGGCCTGAAATGAAGTAGTTTTGGCTTCCTTAGAATGATAAGACTGGATAAAGTAAGGGAATGTACATATACGCACACAGTTATTTAGTTTTACAAAGTATGCATTTATATTAGGTAAGATCTGCAAACCTGAATGTAAAATGACGAAGCAAATTGATATAATTATTTTCCACGTCAAAACAAACATGCCCACTTGGTGCAATAAAAAAGGATCCCTCCTTACAACAAATCAAGTGTAAATAACTCTTCACCAAAGTGTAAGCTACTGACCTGATAACAAACCCCAGAAGGCAGCGTCTACATTTTCATAAATACAAAAAAATACCACAAACGCAGAGACTCCGAGAATTGCTCCTACAACACTACTTACAAGATGAAACCACTGTTTACAATTATTAAACATTTCAAAAATAAACAATCTTGCAATTAAAATGAAACTGCAGGTCGTACAGAAACAACAAAAGCTTTATGTTTAATCCCGATTCTAACAAACAGCTCACCACCTCACTTGCTACGTTACACCTACTACACCGGCATTTTCTACGCCATCATGAACGCCATATTTTAATTGCGATCACAGACTAATATCCACTTACAATCTATTACAGATAATACAAACAACCATGGATTATCATTTTCGATCCCAAGGCATCTATGATCCGATAAATTATCGATGGTTGCAAACGAACTTCAAATTTAAACTTAAAATTGTACTTAATGTAATGTCTTATTAAGCACGTAAAATTAGAAGATACAAATTAATATATTTTACATTGCCCCTACTTCTCAGACCGCGAAATTCAATTATACCTGAACGTGCACTCCAATTACATGAAATGTCTGATCAATTTCACTTACAACGTATGACAGTGAATTCTTTCAAATCTGAAAATTTATTTTCCACTTTTAATTCAAGTTATGTGACTGACTCAATTCTTTTCAAATATGGTGGTATATTTCATTTTATAATTTACATAATACATATTGACTCAAATTTGTCCTTAATGTCATTTGTAATGCAGCCACATTTAATGCTATTTTATTTTTCATGATTCCATGTTGCCTCATTGCACTTAAGAACTTAAAACCTGGTAAGTAAAATTGCAACAGATGCCAAATATAAATGAAAAGTACTGAAAGATAACATAATGTTCAGATTATACAAAATTCACTAATTTGTTCTCTCTCTTAATCTGTTTGAAGTAAAAGTAGCCTTATGTGTAAAAGAACTGGATATAATGAAAACAAACTCATATACAAAAAGCAAAGCACAAGATTCAATTACACACGTTGTGGAAATTATGTCATACAAAAATGACAGAGCACCCCTTTCTTGTAGTTTACTCCGAGTGGTTGAAGTCTTTAGCAGCTCTGACATTGACACAAGCCTGGTGACACAATTGCTTGCACACTGCCAGGAGATTGCTGAGAGCATTCTAGCTTGCGAGACCAACAGCTTCCATTCGGTAAGAACTTAAGACTACAAATGAGGTTACTAGATAGAAGCCCCATCAAGTTTTTGTTCATTTCACTGAATGATGAAAGAACAAGACAGCAGAAAATACTTTGAGCTTTTAGACCTTGGGTTCTCAACTTTTTACAGATCTAGGGCCATATTTCCCTCTGCTTATTGACTGAGGGGCAGTGAGGTTATAAATCCTCTTTTCTCTTAATACTCTCAGTCACTCCAGTAAGCCAACTATATGAGGATAATTTTTTGTCTTTTATTTGTAAATTCAGGGTTCATCCTTGCATGGCTATTCTATTAGAAACAACATATAATCACACAGTGCTTATAATGAAGAGACATGGACTGCCAATGTACATTCTTTATGAAAGCTAACACTAAATCATGTAATTGCAGGAAGTGATGTATCAGACAGTTCATCAACTGGAGTGGCAAAAAAGAACTCTCATGGAAATGATGTACAATGATGACTCAACATCTGGGGCAAAAAACACATGTAAATCTTATTTTTTTATATCCATTTCATTGGTTTTAAAGCACAATAAATTAGGTTTAGGCAGTAAAATAGATGGATAAAACAATTCTAACATGGCACAGTGGTTTGTACACGATTTCCTATTTCAGAGAGTTTTCTCAAAATAGCAAAAACCAGTTCATTTCTATAATGGTAAAGTGTTGCATTTTCTGTGAGGTACAGACTGAATTATTAAATGTTATTTAGATGAGCTTCAGGCTTCAAGAGGTTAAAATGTCAGCCTGAACTGATGACTAGTAGTCTTGCTGTCTCTAAATGCAAATATTTTAACATAATTAAAAAAATGCAAACCATTCCAAATTCATAATTCACATTCATGTCTTTAAGTAAACTGACACATGAGAAGGTACCAAAATATAAGTGTCATTCCCAGACAATGCATACAAAGACCACATAGAAAATTTGGGTGGGTCATAAACCAAAAGACAATTAAATGCATCCTTACATGGTGCAACTCTTGCATAAAATTCCCACTCCTCATCATAACTGGAGGCATGGCTGTCCCACAGGGGAGCATTCTACCAATGCGGACTCAGACAAGTCTGCTCGTCGAAGATGTATCGAGGACACAAGACAGGTACCGAGTGCAGGAGGACTGGATACTGTGGCAGGACTTCCAGAAACAAAGAAACTATTGCGCGAGGCAGTGCTTCTGCCCCTCAAGTTCCCACACCTCTTCACAGGTGCAGCGCAAACCAAAATACAGTAAAGCTATTACAGGACACACCACATCATAAAGATCAGTCTGAGAGTTCATTAATGTTTCTCACAATTTATTTAAAATATGTCAGATTTAACAACTGTAAATAACCCTCTCCTTGTACAGCTGTTGAAGAAAATCAAGGATTCACAGCTACCACATGATCCTACTTTTATCATGTGTTTCCTTCTCATTTGCACCAATAAACACAACTTCTGTTAACATTGCCAGTGATTTAACCCTTAAAGGTGTATCAAACTGACTCACGCCAGGGTCTAGACATAAATAATTAAACCACATCGAGTTTGTCTTCTGGAGTTAGGCAGTGTTATTTTGTATGCATCTGATTTTAATTAATGAAGCTACGTAATAATATTAAAGGTGGCCTCCAGCCATGCACTCGCATTCTGCTGTATGGACCGCCAGGAACAGGAAAAACACAGCTCGTCAATGCATTTGCTGCAGAGCTGAACATTCCATTCTATAGTGTGACAAGTGCTGACCTGCTCTCTTCGTGGGTGGGGGAGACTGAAAAGTGAGTACAAGTAACACGCTGTACCTATGCCATATTTTTTAAACAGAGGATGATTAGGTTTCTGATACAGCACCGTGCAAGTGGAAAGCAAATCTGACTGTTTTCAGCGAGGAATTGAACTGGGTTCCTCTTGCATATCAGATGAATGCTTGGAAACAGGAGACTGATGGAATTGGAAAATTCTGTGTGTTCTCTGTCCATTACTTTAATTTGAAGGTAGAAGTGTTTCATCTCTGCCATCATAATGAAGTGATCTGTTGATTCAGGTTGATCCGGGAACTGTTTGAGTACACACGGGAACGAGGTGAATGTTCTGTGGTATTCATAGATGAGGTGGACAGCATCTGTCGCCAGCGAACATCCACAGAGCAGGATTCAACACGCAGGTGACGTACAGCATAAAATACAGATCTCATTAAAATCCTGAAATATTTTCCAATGTGAAGTATGACTCATAAAATACAACAGAACTTAGGTCTATGTCTGTATATGTAGTATCTCTATTACTGAATAGTCCATTAATTAAGTTGATTATGATGCCAGGATGAAGACAGAGCTACTGACACAGATGGACAGATGTGACAAACAAATATTCTTGATGTGTGCTACAAACTGTCCGTGGGACATCGACTC